GATGGATCCAAAAAGTGGATGGTCTTGAAAAGTAGACTCCAAGATATAAATGACTATTTGTGACATTTGTAGTCTTCTTAAGACTGACCAAAAGGAATGAAAATACTTCAGGAAACATGTCTGCTGGAGACCCCAGCGTACCTAGTGGGAGATTGCACATGCTCTGTATGCACATCTGAATAATCCTTCCATCTGACTTTAACTTGTAAACCTTTGCCAGATCGAAAATAGAGAATTAAAAGCCTCCAAATTCAGGGTGCATGAAATGTCACTAAATCTAGCATAAAATTTCTTGAATCTGTCAGATAAAGGAAATCATGTATCCAGAGTGAAGACCGAATATCAATTGACAGGAACCTATGAAGCTGGTGCTTGTTCTGAGGGGCATATGAATCTAAAAATCCAATAGTGCCTCACCTTTTGAGAACGCTGGGAGCCAGAAAGGTATTAGGAAAATCAATAAGGTAAAAATCTTCATCCTACTATTTGGAATGACTCCCACATAAGAATTAATTAACACAATACTTCTAGAACATTAAAAGGATGTTAAAATGTTATCTCTAGCCATAGAAAACAAAGATATAAACCCACCTAACTTCTAGAGAGAGTAGTTGAAAAAAAAAGATTGGAAAGATTAAAGATCTGTCTAAGAGGTCATTTCTGTACTGTTGTCACTCCATTTACCCTCTTCAGATAGAAGGGTAAGTGTTGAACTTCAGTTCATCTGAATTCCTCAGTTGTCATCAGTGCAGTGACACATTCTAATTTTCTGATTCATTTGCGATGAATAAGCTCTCCCTTTTCTTTTCACAATGCTAAAAGTAACCAATTTTTTTTGAGTGTTATGATTACTTATTTTTCATTTTTCTATTGCACTGTTATTTTCTCTGAGCAAAGTTTCTCTCATTCTTCATCAGCCAGTGTTAATTCCATGTGTAGAAAAGCCCTTGGACAGTACCAGTGCTTAGGCTTGGAGTTCATCAAGAGGAATGAGAGACTGACAACCCTTATTCTGCTTTTAACCCAGCCAGATACCTCAGCTGGCAAGTGGCTCAGCTTCTGCACCATAAAATGGGTATAATAATAGCTTTCCCTTACCACTGTGAAATATTTAGAATGCAAATCAAGCCAAACCTGTCTCCTTCCAAAGGAGAGGCTTAAACTAGCCTACAAAATCTTGAATGAGCCTAGATTTCAAGGGGAAACATAAAGTGGGAAACACCTAGAGGTAGTGTAATTTAGTGGTTAAAATATGTAGACTTTGGAATGGTACAGACTTATTCAGATCCCAGCAGCTGTGTGATTTGGGGTAAGTTTCCCAATTTCTCAAATCTCTCTTATTTCTCCAGTATATTGGAAGTAAAGGTGTTTACTCGTGTAGCCGGGATTAAATGTTAGCCAGTTAATGCTGCTTTTCAAACTCTTCCACATAGGTGATCCTCAAGTTAGAGCGAGTGATCCAATACTCAGGGTGCTGGGGACATTGCCTGAAGCAGACTGTCACAAATGAGACTTGTCAGTGAGGTCTCAGGTTTCACCCTAAAAATACATACAGATTTTGCATTCTACTCCTCAATATGTTCTTGTTTGTTTCGCTAAACTGAAAGTTCCACAAAGCCATGAACAGTATCTGTTGTATTTCTTCTATAACATCCAAGAAATACTTATTGAATAAATGAATACATGTACAAATAAGAGTTTAAATTACTTAACCACAAGGACAACTGACTCTCCAAAGAGACAGCCATGTCTCTATTATTTATTTTGTGGCTCTGTGTACTCCCATTACACTTCTTCACCTCCCTGGGTATACCCATATTCAAATTTGAGAAGCATTTACTTAGCAGGATGCCTGAAACCACAGAAGGTACTCAATTAATAGTAACTCTATCATCTCTCTGCTCACTGCTTCTCTATCTCATTGTTCCTAAGGCTCTATCACTTTTTTAAAAAGAAATTATAAAGGACTGGGAAGGTCAGTATCCAGGAAGCCTTTAAAGGAGTCTTTGTGTCTCTAGCCACACACACTCACCCAGGAGTTTTCTGCACATTTTATTTACTCTTGGCTTCAACTTATAGCAACTTGTTAAAACTTCTTAGGGGCGGTGAGCAGTGGGATTGCAAGAGCTTTTTCTCCCCATCTCCCTAGACCAAGGGTTACTAACATGGACTTCCCGGATGACCTATATGGAGTCTGGGAGCTACTTGAAACTAGGGTTTAGAGGGAGTTTCTAGGAGGAAAGATTCTCATAGAGATCTGTATCACTCTTGCCCTGGAACATCACATAAATTGAAATCAGAATTGACTAATCTTTAAGATACAGTTAATAATACTTTTAGTTCTTTGGAGATGATAGTATATAATAATTTCCACTCAGAAATTACAAAATTAAGATTAGACTTCTGCAAGTCACCCCTTCTCTCTCTGTCTACTCTTGCCTCCCCACCCATGTTTTCATGTCTTGATTCATTTGAGCTTTGCAGTAACATATTCCTTGCTAGAAATTTGTACTTTGAACTTAGCATACCTAATGCAAATGTTTTTAATCTTATGCAAAACTATTATAGATAATTCTTTGCATTTCAGATCAAAAAAACTTACAGACATATAAGGTGAATATCACTTAAGCAGAAAGGATGCATATCAATAAATTAACAATTTGAACTGAACAAAAATATACCTATATGGTTTAATACATGTTCTTAAAATTGCCTAGCAGATTGTAATTCATTCAGGAAGTCGGGGCCTTTTGACGTTTGTGAACATTTATGAATTGTTTAAGAACTCTGAGATTAAGTATTTAGCCTGAATATTAAATTTGGGATAGGTATTATTGTCTTTCGTTAATATGTAAAGACAACAATTATATCCAATATAATCTTCAATATGATTGGGCTTTACTGTGACATATACACTGTGATTTTTCTCTCTACCTTAGATTCCTGTAATTGATAGCCTGTGTGTCATTTGACATCCAGAAAGATAGTTTTTTATTCCAGGACTTGGATGTGTTAGTCAATCTGGGTACAATTTACATTGATCTCTTCTGATCACATCAAAAATTTAATTTTGACTGATTAACTTTTATGAAAAAAAAGCTCCTTGAAATTTAGAATGAAAAGTTATATTCTCAGATTTAAGAACATAAGTACTAAGTATGGTTTTAAAATAGTACAATATATTATTGAGAGTTATTTAGTTTATAACATGCAACAGGAAAAGTGGTAAGTGAGCATATTTCATAGATAACCATCAAACATATTTTTCTCCTTTTCCTCAAAGGTCAGGAAAGAAAGTAAGTTCAAAAAGAGTTGGGAGAGAGAGAGGACAAATAGGAAGGATAGAGGGAAAGAAGGAATGATGGACGGGAGGGAGGCGGAGAAAGAAAAGCATTTTAAAAGGTGTACCAGTACAATGGTCTAGGATCCTGGCTTGCAGAAGAGAGTAGTTCTAAAGTCTTTGAAGACTAGTCAGTCGCATATTATATACATTTCAGATTTATATGTGTTTTCAGTGAATCATATGTAATCTAATCATCTTGCTTAAAATTTTCATTAAACTCATCAATTTTGTGAAACAATTTGAAAGCATTGGAGACCTCCAACCTCTCTTGTGATCAGGTTTTCACCTCCACTCTTCTTGTCCAAGGAGGAGAACACCATCCTTTACACTTGCATGTGCATGGACAGGGTTTCACCTTGGCCATAAAGGGGAAACTTTTTCTTTAAAGGAACCTCTATGAGAGTGCATTTGTCTAGAAAACTTGCTGAGAAGTGAAGTCTCTTTAATTGCCAGTTTTCTGTTTTAGCCTTATTCTATGCTGTTATTTAATCAGATCCTTCTACTTAATCTCTTTTAATATGGTTTGTTTTGAATATTTCTGGAGGCCCTATGTGAAGTGGTTAAAATCATGGTGTCAGAGAGACAAGAATTCAATCAGTGCATATTAAGTTTTTGATGTATTTGAGTGAAATGGCGGTGGGGAGACCTGCTTTGTTTTCTCAGAATCCTTGTTTGGTTTATGAATTTCTTGTGGATCTTCTGTCACTTCAGTTTTATTCTTCTATAAAAGAAGCTAGCAAAATGATGGTGATCAGGCCAGTCCCATAACAGCTTATTTGGCTTGTGAGTTAAAGATTACAAAGGAGAATTCTTAGATTTGAAATATAGAATGAGAAACTATTAAGACCAGCCTCCCAAACCTGAAGTTGTCATCATTAGGAATGTGTTTTGGGGGATCGATGCTTTAGCTTAAAATCATTTTGTCAGAGGGGACATTCCTAGGCTGGAGAGACAGGGTCGATGAGGCCGCATCGAGTCCTCAGCCAGCACCAACCCAAGTTCCCAGCTGAGGGCTGACAATGCCTGCAGGTGCTGAATTTGTCCAGAGGATCTTCTGGGCATTAAACATACTATTTTACCCCTAAAAGAACTGAAGTTGATTAGAGGTTGCCTCATCTTTGTCAAAATTAGCTAAAATTTGTCCTGTGCTACGTAGTAAAATTTTAACCTATTCTAGCCAGTAGATATTTATGCAATAATAGAAATGTTCTACCTATAAGGCAGCCAATAGCCGCAGGTAGCTATTGAGTACTTGAAATGGCACTAGTGGGACAGAGGAACTAAACGTTTAATTTTTTATTAAATTTTAATTAATTTAACTTTAAATAGATCAATGTGGCTAGCAGCTACTATAGTGAACAGCACAGCTCTATAAACTGTTCATATGATTCAGATTAGGGTGAAGTTGACAAAGAGGTTGGCACTCCTTGTACTGGGAAGAATTGTGTTGGTCATAGAGCGAGAGGTCACACCTTTGGACAATATTATGAGGCTGGTTCTCCTTTTCCTTGTGCTACAGGTAACAAAATGGGCTCTTACTGCTTGTGCTGTAGGAGCAACCAGTCCCGCCTATACTGTGCTTAGATTTGCTTTCCTTCTCCCCACAGTATCATTGGGTTCATTTTTAATTCCTTATTTTTTTCTTTGATTTTCACAGTTCCTTGACCATCAGTCTAAGGCCTGCTTCTTCTCTTCATGTAAGTAAAAGTGGTTCCTTTACTTTGCAAAAAAGCGTCAGATGTGGGAAATTTGGGTCTCTGTCAGCACGTTGTCTAGCTGACTTTGTTGTGGTTTCCAGCACTTCTTTGGTATGTGCCAGCCTCTTCTGCGTTTGGAGCCAATGCTGTTGTGGTAGTTGTTCTTGCCATATGTGAGGGGCTGAAAAGACGCGCGGCCCCAGCAACCGGACTTTATATATGAAGGCTGCCTTTTACTCAGCCGCAGCTGCTGTTTGCAAAAGTCACTGCCCTTCTAAGCTATAGTTTACATTCTTCAGCCAGATACCAGCAGCAGTTGGGCTTTTTTTTTTTTTTTTTTTTTTTTGTCCCACTCCCACTAGGGGAATTTTTTGCCAGCCTCTTCTGCGTTTGGAGCCAATGCTGTTGTGGTAGTTGTTCTTGCCATATGTGAGGGGCTGAAAAGACGCGCGGCCCCAGCAACCGGACTTTATATATGAAGGCTGCCTTTTACTCAGCCGCAGCTGCTGTTTGCAAAAGTCACTGCCCTTCTAAGCTATAGTTTACATTCTTCAGCCAGATACCAGCAGCAGTTTGGCTTTTTTTTTTTTTTTTTTTTTTTTTGCTCCACTGCCAATCAGTGGGCAATTATTTATTTTTCAGTTTTACATCCATCCCTGGATTCAGTGGTTTTTAATTTCAACTTCTAGATCTAGAGCTTTCATTTATTGACAAAATTTCTAATATCCTTTTACTAAGAAGTACAACAGTAAAGCACAAGACTTCAGCCACTTAGGTTAAAGTTGAGTGTAAAATTGTAAAGACCAGAAAGAGGGGGTGGGGAAACCCAGGATTACATGTGCCAGGAGATTTATAAAAGGTACCTGTTTTTTCTTTTTCTTTTTCTTTTTTCAGAAAAGATGCAAGTCTTTGGGGGCAGGGGCTGTGGATTTTAGATAAAAAGAGAGAATATTTATTATTTAAAGCTCAAATTGCTAGGCTACACTGAATGGGTTTAGAGAAATTTTACCTCAAAAGAGGTTGTAGGGTAATGAACCCAATAATCAAAATCACTACATGAGACTCCACCCAAGAGATGCCACAGGTAGTGGCAGTCACCTCATGTGATAAATAATCATTTATTTATTTATTTAAATAAATGACCCCTTCCAGCTGCTTCTCACTCTGATGAGCATAACTGATTCCTTATTCACAACATTATATCTTACTTCACTGACTGCTCACTCCGAGATATTCCTCGGGTTGTAATCATTTGCACAGAAAGGGTGTTCCCATGGCTCTTTAGTTTATGTGTGACTTTCACTAATATTCTTAGAAGCTAGTTAAATATATTTAGAGGAGCCGAATCCTCCAAAGGATGCCCAGGCTAAGGTCTAAAGTGACAGTTATTTGACAGAAAAAGGAGATTGATTAAACTCCCCAAAGACTGGTGCTGTGTGTAATGCATTTATACAGCAGGAGTGGGTCCTCCCTGCCCCTGACAAGTCTTGTTATTCCTTTTTCTCAGTGTTGATAGAGTGAGTCTGTCAATGCTATGGAGGGTGTCAGTGTGCGTGCTTATGGTTACGACTCCATGTCTCCGCATCCCTGCCTCAGTTACCTAGCACTGCATATTTCTGGTCCTCTGACTGGCAAATCATTTTTGTTGCATTTCTTTGTGTAACAACGGTTCACATAATAGCTCTGTGTTAGACAAGGCATTAATCCTCGCATCACCGGGGATGAGTCAGCACAGTGCACTCCTGCCCGCATGGCTCGGCTATTATGACGTCAGCACTGTAGGGCGAGCCTCAGACACCAGCAGTACAGGGGACTGGAGACCTGTGTCACAGCTTAGAAATCAAGGGGGAGACCTTTGAGATAAAAAATATAATTGGAAGGCTGTCTCTGGCTCATAGGAAAATGTGAAGCTGATTCTATGCTACATCAACCGTCAATCAAGCAGCTTCTAGAGAGCTCCTAGTTTTTAACCAGAGATAAGGCCGGGAGAATGACCTGTAATGAGCCGACTGCCCATTCGTGTACCCACTAACCTTGTCCCACTCCCGGGCTATGCTTGCTGGGATTTTTCCAAATCCTGAGCTGCCTTTATTTCAGGGCCAACAAGGCCTGTGACAGTCCTGCTGTCCTCAAGTGCCCCACAGACGACACAGCTGATGGCTCCAGAGGTGGTGCCCCAGATGTCCCTCAAAGAGAAAAGAAAGGTTCCTTGGGAACAGACCAGAACATTATCTTCCCAGTGCTTCTAGCTCCTAGTGCCTCTTCAGTGGCCTCCACCAGGCAGGTGCAGAATTCTGCCTATTCAACCTTCTCTCCTTGGCACTGCATTTTGTCCAAAGTCCCAATCTGGATTTGACACAGATTTCAGTAGGAACTGAATAGCTTCCAGCTGTTCCCCCAAGAATTTCCATTTCATTTCTCTTTAGCAGAAACAAAGAAGAGCCCTGCAAAACCTGCCATGCTTCCTTGGGGCAGGTATCACAGACTTGACCTGTTTGGGAAACCCGGTTCATATAAGTTAGACCTCTCCACACTTCAGACTCTGATTCATTCTCAGGACAATACCTTTCAATTGAAAAACTTAAGTGTTGAAAAAGCTGAAAATTTACTGCCTCAGTGACATTGTCTGTTAACAAGATCTTTCTCCATCATACCATCTATCCCTCACTGTTACTCTCACCCTGTGATAACCATCAGAAAGTACCCTACTTCTGGGATCTTCTGCCTTTGTTAAGCCTCTAAGAGGCTCCCACCATGCCTATAGAAGCTCAAACTACTGCTTGGCTTAGTTTTGATTAATTATTAAGCACGGCTCTTTATTCAGTGTTCAGTCAACAAACATTTAAGGAAAGCTAGTCACTGTGTTTGGTACCTGGAACTCCAAGATAAATAAGAAGTGCTCCCTGTTGTTAAGAATCTCACAGTCTGGTGGGAGAGATAAACAGTAAGCAAAGGCTATACTATGTGATAGGCACCAGAATGGAGGTTTATACCAGGTGTAGTGAGGGGAACCAGAAAGGTGTGCCCATCTACATCTGAAGAGGTACCCAAGCTGGGCCTTAAAGTCTAAAGAATGAGTTGCAGTTTACTGGGTGGATGTGGAGGAAAATAAAGCAAAATCATACTCAGGAAAAAAAGGCAAAAGCATTTGCAAAGTCAGTAGGCATTGAGCAGCAGCCAGATCCAGAGGACAGTATAGTTAGTGTGGCTGGAGCATGGTGGTGGGAAGAGGAGCCTGAGAGATGAAGCTGAAAAATGTAGGAGACAAATCACAGAGGGCCTGGTATGCAGTACGCAGGACGGGATCTGGTCTTGATGCTGCAGGCTTGAGGAGGCTTTGACGAATTTTAACCAGATTCGTGTTGTAGGAAAAGAGCACTCTGGTGATGATAGAGATGGCTGACTGAGGTGAGGAAAGGAAGACCAGGTCAAAAGTGAAAACGAAAGGCCTGAACTGTGCGGTGGAGTGGGAGTGAAGGGGAGCGGCTGTGTGGTAGTATTTGCATGGAAGTTGACAGTGCGTAGTACTAGCATGCCTTGGCCCAATGCCTCACCCCTGCCTCCTAGGAAGAAAGGCTGATGTATCGTGTGGGGCCAAATTGCACACCCAAGTATATCGTTATGGGAGCTTCACCAAGAGACCTCAGTTTGAATCTGACCTCACTCTGAGCTGCTGTCTACGGTCTCCAGAGATGTGTGTCTGCTTCCACAGTGGACTTAGGAGAGGAGCAGTCAGATAAGGAAGACACATTCTCAGTGTCCTGCTTTTTCTCTTCTTTCACCTGAAAATGAAAAAATTTCTCGAGAATATCCCCCTATAGTCAATTAATGCCCCAATTTTCTATCATTTTCCCATGCTGCCTTTTTCTAAGCAGAAGTTTCAAACCATTGAGCTGAATTCCAACTTATGCACAGCCGGGTGTTGAAACAATTCAATATATTCATTCCTTCTTTCTGAATTAGAGTTCACCATAAGTGTGCTTTTCTCCTGTTCACTTTGGGCTGCCAGGACAATTTAAAGGAAATTTTCAACAGCTTATGTTTCATGTACCATGTTCTCTTTTACAAATGGGAGTATATGCGTGGGTGTGTTTAAGTCTTCTCTATATTGCTTTCTGGAGAAAGGTTTGAGAAGATGAACAAGACAAGGAATAGGGACCTATTGAGAGCCCAGGTCCCCTTCAGTGACCTGAGTGCAGAATGTAGGCTGGTAATCAGATGGTCAATTATGTGTTTGTCAAAACACAGTGGGCTGCATTCCAGACTGCCAGCTTTGGAGGCCCAGCTTCTGCCAACCAAATGTCATCTGGGAACATGCAACACTGGGCACTGTGAAGGAGTTTGAAATAGACCATGCCACAGCCAACCGACTGCCAGTCTTATAGCACCAATATGGCATGCACAGCCGGGCCCCATGTTTCAGAGCTCAGGAATTCACTGTACTAAATTCAAGAGGTCAGATGGGTTCATGTTTTCAAAGCCTATGTTCTCTGCTTTGAACATTGTGACTTGCTCCTCAGCAATTTCCAAGGGATTTTTCCAGTCACATCTCTGTGGAAACCACTCTTTTTGTGATGGTTATAAGAGCCTTGTAAATGTCCCAGAGGAGAGAAAAAAAATAAACCTGCTCTGACAACGACTGTGATTCTGACAGAGGGATTCCAACTCTTAGGAAATTACATTAAAGGTTCATAGCTTTTAAAATATCAGGAACCACCTTGGCAACTTATAAAAAGCAGAAGGGCTTTGCCTATTTTATAAAGTGATTTGCATATACCTGCATAAATAATGTCCCCACCTGTACTTTTATGCATTTAGGTTGAATAAATTAAATTCAGTGATCTTTAAAATATTCACTGCCTTTCATTGCTCAGATACCATTTTCAGGACCCTTCCTCCTCATTTCTTCCTGTGGTAGTAGTGGCTGTTTATTCAATCTTTCGACTAACTCAAAGAATCAGAACACTCTGCAGACTCATCTACCACGGCCAGGAGCATTG